CAGTAACTACAGCTGCCAACTGCAAGTATCCATTCATTGAGAACATTCAACGTGATACCAGGTTTCACAGCAATGTAATTATAGCCTTCATCTTGCATTCAGGTTTCCATATTTTATATTTCTTCCCTTACTTTCAAAATTCTGATTTGTCCAGTAACATTTTCATAAACAAAGACAAGAATATTTGTGGCTAGAAGCCTAGAACTCATGGCGGAGCAGGTAGTTACGGGTCTACTGCAAGTGAAATTAAGTTTAGCATGAAAATAGTTCCCATTATATAACATCTCCTATCTCTGTGGCCTCTCCTTGGCCAAAGAACTAAAGAACAATCTTCATAAACAAAAATCAATGTAGCATTTCATTGGTGTACTGACATAAATATACTCATTGCAAAGGCAAGTCCAAGAAAAGAAACTGAGACTCCAATCTAGGCTATAATGAGACGTTGTAATGTACATCTCCCAACTCTCTGGCCTCTCCTAGGCAAAAGATATCAGGAGCCATTTTCTTAAATAGAAATCAACATTTTTATTAATCAAAATCAACATAGCATTTTTTATTATCCTCAATGCTAAACCAAGATAAATGAAATGCAATACATATTGGAAGAGTAACTTAAAAATGCTAAGAATAAAGTCTGTGAGGGAAGAAATAGATTGAAAGATAGCTTTTTAATTGAAAAACAACACAAGTCTTACAACAAACTCTTAAAACATACTTAATTTAAATCTGATCAAATAGTTAGACCAAATTCAATCAACTATCCCCTTTCCTTTCCCATTATCCTCCATAACTCCCTTTCTCTTGCGCATGGTTATGTTGATGGATATTTCGATGTCTTTTTCTTCTATTATTTGAGCACGTGTCTTGAACATACACGGTAGGTCTTCACACGGATATTTAGCTTTACAATTACACGAACAAACAAAACTTGATTCTGCAGTACACTGTTCATCAACCTTCCACTTGAAATGACCACAATCTCTAGTACAGCATAAGAATAACTTCCCCTATGTTTTGGGTGTTTTTCTCTACCTCCATGCATTTCTTTAAAGCCTTTGCCACATTTTGGACAGAGTCTCTTTGTTGGGCAGTCAGGCAGATAGTGCCCTGGTTTCCTACAACTGTGACAGATGCCCTTGTTCTTCCCAACAACTCCGGAATGAACAAAATCAAGGTCTTCCTCGTAATCTGTCAACAAATGAAAATAATGGAATGGTTTATTAAATGTGTAAGATGTGAAATAAAGGCTCATTTTTTTATTTTTGGTGTTTGAGATTTCCTATGGTCAGGTAACATAATGAGCTGCTTTCACGAGCTAAGGTCACCTAAGCATTTTTGGACAGTCAGCTGCTGTAACTAATTTACATCTTTAAAGTCATATGCTCTTCTTTAATAATCTCATTACAATGAAAAACATAGACAAGAGAAAAAGAAATGTTGATAGTTCACCAAAATCAAAACATCACATTATAACGAGAAATAATGAACACCAAAATATCTTGAAAGGCACATACAAATTTACAGTCCTCAAGTCAAAATGCTCAATTGAACAACGGAATAGTGGTCGAACAGCAGCTCTTCACCCATGTTCGTTCACACATATATAAACTCAACGTATAACAGGAAAAAAAAATCACATACTCCCACACAAAGTACAGGGAAATGTAAAAAACCAGAACCAAAAATCACATTCATCAGAAGAAAAGGCAAATCGCATATGCCGCCTTCTTTTCACTTACCCAACAGGAAGAGGTAGGTCTGTGTTTGTCTACTACTGACGGAGGGGGTAATACGACGGTGGCACGGGTTATGTGGTCGCCTCAAAATGTCGCGCAGCTGCACGGGTTTCTAATTTCTTCTCAACGGTGTACCGGGCGGAGATCTGGGGAGTAGTGCAACGTTTTTCCTGTCGGAGTTACGGTCGATGTCGTCGGAAAATGGCGAGAGTGGGAGGCGAAAGTGGAGAGAGGGGGGTTAGGTTTCAATTCGGGTTGAAGGGAGAGAGAAATGACCCGGTTTTGGCTTCTTTTAACATTCCAACGAATGGGGAATTTGGCCAGATAGCCGGGTTCAATGAAGAAATTGGACAAAAGGCCTTTGACCCATGTTTTATATAAAAAAAAAAGAAAAATATAATAAA